ACAATCCAAGGAAGACTACTGATGGCAGGATTTATTCTATAATAAATGTTGTTTTTAAGGTTTTTCACAAGGCATCAGATGCCTGAAACATTCTAATTACGCAGTTCAATGTAATAATTAGTAGCCACAAAGAAATTGCTGAGAGATGCTCAGGAGATGGTGCCTGGAATGTACATAAATAATCTAAGGCTTGGATTGAAATGTCTTAAGACTTTAGTCATTCATCTGAGGAAACCCAATTCCTAAAATGCATTTTTATTGCATCTCTCATCTAAGGGAACAAAAAGCATTGCCATATTAGTACTCCATCTTTACACTCTAATTCAGTCCAACAGGGGACCAAATGGTTTGTCCTCTCTGAGACCAGGGCAGAGACAGGTTCCAGGTCCTGAAAATGCTGGACCCTGAGCTCCCTCTGGAGGAGGTTAGGATTATCTGACTTCAAGGAAATCTGAATCACCTTTAGTCTTTGGCAAAGGAGGGACAATATAGACTATGTAATAGCCTCTGGATACTTGCAACCTGTATACTGCTATCCATTAAATAAAGGCTAATTGTGAAGAGCAAGAACCTTAACACAAAGTCAATTTGCAAGTCAATCTCAGACAAACTTCATTTCATTTACCATTTTGAGCTATATGTTTCATAGGATTGTTTGTTCTTTCAATACCATACGTATCCATCCAATTAAGCAAAGAAATCATTCCACTTATTCTAAGCCAAGAGAGCTGAGTGACCTGCAGAACACTGAGATGGTACTTACACAATGTCTCACTCTACAGCAAGTACTAAATGTTCTAATTTAGGACATCCCTGGTCTCCTGACACACAGTGACTAAAAAAACAGAAATGTGATGACTTTCAGTAGAGAATCTGAAAATCTGACCCATATACTATAACTCACTTTGCAGAACATTATTCCTTTTTACCCTTTTACTTGCCTTATCTTTCCTTGTCGCTCTTCCCTTTCTAATTTTTGAGAAACAATTTTTCTAACTTATCTGACATTCCACCAAATTCTGTTCCTAACATGCATCCTTCTGTGTTATCTCTAAATGTAATTAAATTTATTTCTTTAAATTAATTAATTTATTTACTTTTTAGGTGAGGCAACCCTTGGTTGACTTCACAGATTGCAAGGACCTTGTCAGCTTACAATCCCTTATTTATTTTTATTTTTTACGCCTACAGCACCTGGTCTTCCTAGGTTAGGTGGTCTCCCATCCAAGTACTAACCAGGCCCAACCCTGCTTAGCTTCCGAAATCAGACGGGATCGGGCTTGTTCAGGGTGGCATGGCCGTAGACTAAATGTAATTAAATTTCAATTCCTTCATTAAAATACTTACAAACTATAAGTTAAGCCAATCTCCTTTACCTTTACACTCCATGCTGAATCATCCCTACTCATTCCTTGTTCAGCCACTTGAACAATTAATATTGGCATGCTATGGAGAACACATTCTATCCCACCAATAAAATTATCCCATATTTTATTCTTTGTTTTTTCTAAATGATTACTATGTAAGGTGGTTAATAAATTCATTCATTCATTCACAAAGCAAATGTTATTGAGTGCCAGTATATGCTAGGCACTGTTCTAGGCATAGGGAATATAGTAATAAACAAAATTCTCAATCCCTCCTACCATGTAGTTCATATTTTAGTGGAGGGAGACCATTAATAAATGAAATAAGTAAAATATATAGCTTGTCAGATAGGGAAATGTTATGTGGAAAAGTAAAACAGGGTAGGGGAATAGAAATGGAGAAAGTTGTAATTTTAAGTAAAGTAGTAGAGAAGGCTTCCTGTACAAGGAAAAACCAGTAAGGAGGTTGTCCTAAACAATGGTTAGGAGGTGAAGGAGGGAATCATGCAGTCACCTGCGGAAAGATTATTTCTAAGCAGAGGAAAGAACAAAAACTAAGGTTCTAAAGCAGGAGCATAGCTAGGAACAGCAAGGAGGCCAGTCGGTTTGGAATAGAATGAACAATAAGGAGAGAAGTAAGCAGATAGGTCAAAGAGGGGACAGAGGAATACTGTGTAGGGCTGTGTAGGTTACTGTATCGTCTGTGGCTTTTACTTTGAGTGAAGTGAGAAGCATTGGGGCCTTTGAGTAGTGACATCATCTGACTTAAGTTTTATTAAGAACACCCAGGCAGTGAGTTGGTAAGAGAATGAAGGTTAAAGAAGGGTGAAAGCAGGAAGATCAGCTAAGATGCTCCTGTCACCCCTATCAGTCAGGAAATTATAAGGGTTTTAGAGTTCTGTGCCAGGAATAGGAGATGAAGACCAAATATATATATTTTTTATTATATCACAAAGAGTAAATTAACACCAAAATAAATAGAAAATAGAAATAGTAAAGATAAGAACATAAACCAATACGATAGGAAACAAACAACAGAAATAATCAATAAAATCAAAAGATGGTTCTTTGAAAAAGTAAGTAAAACTGATTAACCTCTAGCAAGACTTGCCAAGAAAAAAGAGAAAACACAAATTACCAATACAAGAAATGATAAAGGGGGCATTACCATAGATCTTACCAACTTTTAAATGATAACAAGGGAAAGATGATAAACAATGTCATGCCAATAAAATCAGCAAAATTGATGGAACGGATAAGTTCCTTGAAAGAGGCAAATTACCGAAAAAACGACACATGGAGAAATAGCAAATCTGAACATCTCTATATTTATGAAATAAATTTAAGAACATTGAATTTCCATATTAAAACCTTTCCACAAAGAAAATTCCAGGCCCTGTTGGCTCACTGGTAATTTCTAACAAATATTTAAGGAGGAAATAAAATCAATCTGACAAAAATTTTTTCAGAAAACAGAGGGGAGGGAACAATTCCCAATTCATTTTATAAGGCACCATAACACTGATACCAAAACCAGACAAGAACAATATAAGAAAAAAGAGACTAAAATCCCTCTTTAACATAGATGCTAAAATCTGAAATAAAATGTTAACCAGTCAAATACAATACAATACACATATAAAGGATCAAGTGGAGTTTAATCCTAGTAATGCAGGGCTGATTTAACATTCAAACATTAATTAATATAATTTGCATTAACAGAATAAAGGAGGAAAATCATAAGAGCATCTCAGTAGATGCAGGAAAAGTATTTAACAAAATTTAATGCCTGTCTACAGCCATGCTACACTGAACAAGCCCAATCCCGTCTGATTTTGGAAGCTAAGCAGGGTTGGGCCTGGTTAGTACTTGGATGGGAGACCACCTAGGAAGACCAGGTGCTGTAGGCGTAAAAAATAAAAATAAATAAGGGACTGTAAACTGACAAGGTCCTTGCAATCTGTGAAGTCAACCAAGGGTTGTCTCACCTAAAAAATAAAAATAATAATAAAAAAAAATTTAATGCCCATTCCTGGTAAAGACACTCAGCACACAGAAACAGAAGGAACTGTCCTCTGATAAAGGCCACCTACAGGAAACCTACAATTAACATCATACAAGGCAAGGATGTCCACTCTTACTGCTTTTGTTCAACATTATCACATGTCCCAGTCGGTACAGTAAGGCAAGAGTAATAAAAAGCATAAACATTGGAAAGGAAGAAGTAAAACTATCTTTGTATACAGATGTTATGACTGCCTATATAGGAAATTCTAAGGAATATACAGAGGAAAGAGGAGAAGAAGAAAAAAGGAACAAATGGATCAATGAAGGAACAAAGGAAGGAAACCTACTAGGAATAATAAGTGAATTTACCAAGGTCTCAGACTACAACATCAATATAGAAAATAAATTGTATATCCGTATTGCAACAGCAAACTGCAAGTTGATATTAAAAAATAATACCATTTATAATAGCATCAAAAAAACAAAACACATAGAAATAACTTTAATGTATGAAATATTATAAAAAATTAAAGATCTAAATAAATGGAGAGTTTATATCATGCTCATGGATTGGAAGACTCAATATTATTAAGATATCCATTTTCTTTAAATTGATGTATAGATTTCTTTAAACTGATGTACAGTCCCAATCAAAATCCCAGCAGGTATTTTTGTAGAAATTGAAAAAAATTGATATTCTCTTGATATTGATGTAAGGATCAACAAATATATAAATTCAACAGGATAGACTTATAACTGTTAAACCTGCCACAGGGAACAACTCAATTTCCCTGGAGGAAATCAGTTGCTAAACCCAATAGGGAGTCTGTTAGAAGGGTGTATTATGGATAATAATCTCAGCTATGAATTCTAATTAACCTTTTGATGAGATGAAAATATTGTAATATTGTAATAAAGAAATTATGTTTTCCTTTGTTTTTCATGTCTACTTTTAGTAAATACAAAATCAGGTAGAGTCCTGGTAAAATACCAGATAATCCCATTTTATTGTTTTTAAGAGGACAATCAAGAATTTTGGTGCTATGCCTCTTTTTTGGGTTGTAGGTAATTTATTTTATGAAACAGAAAAAGTGTGTACTACATAAAAGCCACTATCAGATGAAACTAGCAAACTGGAAGAGTGCTGGTAGTTGTTTAAAAGGATAAAGAAATTTAATTAACATTTGAATATTACGTATTTAGTTATTTTATAAATATTATAGTTTTATAGCTGACCAACAGAACATATATTTAACCACATAATGGTAATGAACAGCTTTTAAAACAATGGGTTAGATATTTCATTAAGAACTAACTTTGGAAAGCCTGAGCATTCTAGGAAATAATTGACATATAAGGTTATGTGACTAGCAGAGGTCAGAGATTAGCATAAGTTGAGTGTGTATATGACAGGATGTTACCTACTCAGTAATCATGGCAAACAAAGAAGCAGGTAGAGAGGTGACTTTAATTGCAAATCAAAGCATCACATCAACAGAATTCTTAGAAGAAAGAAGAAAATAGTGAATGATCTAACAAAACAAAGTTGGATGATGCTAATACAGACGTATGGCCATCTTAACAGCTCGTGTTACATTTCTATTGTATATAAAATAAAAAGGGAAGACTTGCCAATTTGCATTTTAAGATTTTAAAAGACACTACCAGAAAAAAAATCTGTTCCTCTTCAAATTCTTCCCCTCACAATGGCCATCTCCACCCTAAAATTAGAAACCAAGCCAGTAAGAACCAAAGATAAGAATGTAAATATATGCTGCCAAAACCTTGCCTAGTAATGTTAAATTATATGTAACAACATATCCTATTAAACCACTAACTGATAAACATGCTGGTCAAGCCAAAAGATTTGCTTCAAAGTTTTGCTCAATTTCCATCCTTTTAAACAACCTTCATGATATATTTAAATGCAGTTTCAGAATGTTCAGTGTGGAACCAAACCCATGTTTCATGCTTATCAAGTATATTTGTTTGCTCAGAAATGTTTAGTGCTCCCAGACATTGGGATCTTACTTTATTACACATTTAGAAACTTTTCCTTCTATAATTATAAAGTCCTGAACCAAAGCTAAGCATGACCACTAATCAAACATGTCTGAGATAATATATCATCGAATAAAATTATATGATTTAACATAAGCTGCAATGTTATTAGGATGTACCAGTCAGGCAGTTTTTATAAATTAATGTTCAAATTAAGAAAACATGAATAATTTAACGATTAATAAATTTAAAAACAAATTTAGGTGAATATACACATAACTACACAGAATTTATGATATATCTGTAGAAATCTCTAGTCAGCATTTTTGTGTAATAATAATAAAAAGGATTTTTTTAAAACCATACAGTGATTCTGGGATTCCCTGAATTTTCAGCTGCTGCATTTTCTACTCTACATCTGGCAGGTTCTTCTTCCTTTCAGTTTGTGCATTTCCTGTATTCTAAAAAGTAAATAGAAACAGGACCTTAATTGAGAAAATGGTGAGTCTTTGGCTAAGGAAATACAGCCACAGATAAGTACTTATACTTTGCATCTGGGGATTGTTTTATAAGGTATAGAAAGACTATTTAGTAAAGTATTCCTCATTATCATCATGAAACAGAACTGGAGGTGGCTTTTGTATGGGCTCTTAACTCTCTTGCCTAATTCACTCTTTAGCAGTAATTTAGGGTTTCTCTGTAGGTCAGAGTCTATTCAATGCATATATGCTATTTCGGTATACATTTAAGATGCCTAAAAGAGTTTAATTCACAACTGGGAAGTAACTAGATATGATTAGGTAATTTAAAATCAAGTCAATGACAAAGTCAAGAATAGAACAAGTAAGTTGCTATTACCGACTTTATATTTTTTAAAAACATGCCATATTTTCTCATGCTCTAAAATAACAAACTACCAACTCAAAATTTAGGAAATTTTCTTAATTCTGACATTAATTTATTAAAAGTGTTTGGACTAGCCTTATGTGCAATTTCAGTCACTTGTCAGAACTGCATTTTAATGGGCAGTACAAATAAACTACAACCATCATTGACGACTTCTGGTTATTTCTAATAACTACAACTGTTTCAAAGTCACTCTTAAAAATATTATTTTTCAGGAGTTCTATACCATATAAGCAAGAAGGGATTTTCTCTTCCTACTTACTTTTGTATTTTAAAAATAGCATAACTGTCTTAAGAGTTCATTTTTTCCTGCATTGGAATGTAATTGTAGTTCAGGGATAGGGGGACAGCTCTCATAGGACAGTGGGATAAAATAAACACTTAGAGCACTTTACTAGCCTGCCCAAACTCAGGAGCCCTAACTCACCCAATTATTCAAAAAATGTGAAAATAATGTGCTGTTCAACATGCTGTGACATCAGTAAGTCATCCAAGTTTAAAACCAACTTATTACTTTTTATAATGAACTAAAAGATGACCATTGGTAGCTTTCTTGTTCTATCTAGAAAATATCTCTTTTCTACAAAGTGGACTGTGGAGTTCTTAACAAGTTCTAGGCCAAAAATAAAGCATAAATGTCATTGTGAAAATATATCTAATAGTGTCTTATAACTTGTTTATCTGAATGTTGTAGAGATTAAATAAACAGTTAAAACAACTTCTTAAGTAGTTTCAGATCAAAGTTTCTCTATATTTATAATTTCTTTATTTTTCCTTAATAGGTATGTGCTAATTTTATCATGAATAAAAATATAATCATTTCTATTTAAAAAATAAGAAACTGAGATAACAGTGATGACCTAATAAAAATAGGAGGCCATCTATATGATTTAATTCAGTGTGTGCTCAGCACAATCCCCTTCCCTTCAAAGAATACCTTTAGAGAGTATTCATTTTGATGCTGAGGGCTTCAAGATTTCCAAATAAAATTCAAGACTCTCTCAGGTGAGTAGGGGCCAGGATAGTTCAACAAGATTATCTGATAGCTAGATAAGAGCAAATATTTGTGAAAATCGGACAGTAGGTGGACAGCAGAGATGGAAGAACAAATTGGAGAAAAAGCAGGAAGGAAGAGGCAAATACATCTGTTCTTGTGGGCAGTATAACCATATGTTTATACTATTATTAATTTCCTCTGGCATGGTTTTACTCACCCAATATTAGGTAATACACATGACACACATATTCTTTTCCCTGGGTACCATATATTCTAATAACTTCAGCATTCAAATGAGAGATGGTATTCACTACCTCCCCCTCGCAAAAAAAAACCTTGAAAACCTTTAGTAATTGGTTATTCTATGAAAATATAGATATTTATTAAGTTCAAAGATTATAAAATTTTGAATTTCTATAACTTACCAATGATAATAATTAAATTTACATATCAAGTCAAGGGTTCTAAACAGCATTCCTTAGTAAAAGCTATAAAAAAAAAGTTTTACCTCTTGTTTGTCTTGATTTTGATCCACATTCAGTAAAGTTGGTATTTTAGATGAGTCAGTTTTCTTTGATTCCCTCTTCAGCACTTTCATCTGTTTAACTTTTGCAAAAATATATACAATAACAACTTGTTATTCCTATCTTGACATTTTACTTTCCTTTTTAAAAGTTTCAAATGGAAATTCTGATATCCACCAAAGTCAATTTCTCACTTTATTATAAAGGAACTGAACAAACAGATCATGAGTTGTAATGGTAAAATGTGTCAATCATAAATAATTCATTTTATAATTTTACAAATGATCTACCATTAATTCTGACTGTAACTGTTAAGTGGATTAGATAATTCCTCTTGAACTATACAAGTACTGCATTCTTGCTATTACTGACTGTAACTGTTAAGTGGATTTATCTTTTTAATTCTGACTGTAACTGTTAAGTGGATTAGATAATTCCTCTTGAACTACACAAGTACTGTATTCTTGCTATTACATTAATTTTTCACAAGGTGTCACTGTTCTTCAAAGAAACATAACATTTACTCTTCCAAAAAATGAGTTTCATTTTAAGAGCTCAATACATGTTATAAATCTTAATCTACTAAATCCTTGGATGCCTGAAGCACATATATCAAACCTGCTACTATATGGGTAAATAATCATAGAGAAATATAGAAAATTGATTTGCTCCAGGTCATATAGTGAACCAAAACCACCTTCCTCAAATACTGTTCCAACATTTCAACAATATTGAGCTAATGAAAAATTTACCTTTTAAAGTTTTCTAACCTTTCTTTAAAATTACCTTTTAAGTCTCACCCCTTATTTGAATATGGGAAAAAATTCGCATCGCTGAGAATATTTTTCACAGTAATTTACTATTTTCTGTTTAAATCAGATTATAAAATTTAAGTTATATTACAAAAAAATCTTGTAAAAGAGAACATCTGGAGATTTGTCAAGCTATGTAACCAATTTGTACCTTCCATTCCTTTCATCTCCTTTGACTGTATTGTGAAAGGCAATTCTGGGAAATGAAATTCTTTCCTGTCAGATCTAGAAAAATTCAGCTTCCTTTTGTTTCCATTTGCCATTTGGTCACTTTGGCCTGTTCGCTCATTAAATACACCCTTCTCCATAAACAAACAAACAAACAAACAAATGAGAGTTAATTTGAAGAAAGATATGTAACTATTTACTGAATGATAAGCCTAGAATTATTAGCCATTTGGGTGGTATAAGATAGGAATAACAATGTCTATCTTTGCAAGGTTATTTTAATAATTAAGAGGTAGAACAAAATACCAGTAAAAATATAAACAGATCAAACTCCAATAAAAGTTTCACAAATAAACTTTTTTTAGCATACTAAATATTCTGAGAATAACAGTCTTGATCATGAAAACTACAATCTTAACTTTTAATTTTTAAACTATTCATTGCATTCTGACTTTGGACAAATTGCTTCAGTGCATTTTATAAATAATTTAGTTTTCTATTTACAAAATGATGTGCTCTGGACACTAAGAAAACCCAAAGAAAAAATCTACTTGTGAACCCAGCATTTTGGAAAATCCTTATGTTATCTGTTTTTGTTCATTTGACAACAGATGATAAAAACTTTTCTAGAACACTCTTCCAGAATGTAATATGTAACATCCCACTGTGTAGATATACTCGAATGTATTTAACCAGTCACTTGCTTTTGGATGAATCTGTGTTGTCTTCAATTTTTTACTATTGTTAATAACACTGTATTTCAATTTTGAATAAGCTACTTTCCTATGTAAAAAATGAGGGAATAAACTACACTGATTATTTTTTCTAGTGAAAAGTAAAATGTGTCTATTTGGCAATTGCTTTTGATCTATAAAGTAAGATATCAAAAACATTTTTTGGAAGTGAAAATCCAAAATGTCTGTGACTTTTAAAGGTGAAAATCTTAATGTTTCCCCCCAAAATCAGACATTAAAAACACAAATCAAGCTACCAGAAATTAACTAAAATTGTGAAAGCATTGAGGAAATGATAGCCTATTTTTGTCTCGGGGGGTGTGGGGGAACTAAAAGCACAGTTTTAAAAAATGTTAGAGCCTGGAGATGAGGAAAATGACAAGGTGAGAGGGCGAGGGGATAATGTTGAAAGAGGTCATACTTCAAAGACTAGGTTCTTGCCTTACTTGAGTGGCATCTGTATCCTCCTGCCTGCAATTAGATATAATTTGTCCAATAGATTGTGAAGAAGTACGTCTCTTTTTTGTTCTTTCAGTTACCCTATTTTTAAAAAACAAATGAGAAGTTATTAGAATGCCCCAGAAGTGCTTCTGTTTTAGCTTCGATAATGAATAAGTTATATCATGGAAGATTACTGTTTGAATACTGCATGCCGAAGTGCAATTGTCAGTCCTTAAGTGCCAAATGCTCTAAGTAAAGAGGTGAAAACAGAGCAGAGAACAACTCACTCATGGCTAACCTCAGGGATGACACCCATGTTGTAGGGTTACTGTGGCCGACCTACTTCGTCTCTTTTATTTGTTCTGTATCTGGATCTCTTAACTGCTAGGTTTCTGAAGTTCTGAGCCTGCTGTCCAAGGCTGGTTTGCAACCACGGTTATTGTAACCATGTCCACTTGCCCACCTCTGCAGACCACTAAGATTCACAATTTATAGCCCAAACCAGTCTGCTAGGATTGACTTGGGACATTGAACCTAGTCTCCTTCCTCATCTAGATACATAGTAGTTCCCCTAAATTTAGAACCGGGCTTGATGCTGTACTAGACAGACGCTTGCCACCCACCACACTGTCCTTGATTAACAGACTCATGTACAGCCTCTCAATTTGCATCCATAGCTAAATCTAAACTAGCTCAGTATGTTGTTTTCCTCCCCAAATATCTGACCTTCAAAGGCCATTTGACTATAAAAGATCACTTTAACTATCCTTTCTCCATTAAGAGAATTTGCTATGATACAGAGATAAAGCCTACTTTATTATTATAACAAAGCACATCAATATCAGAACTTAGGTCATACCACCTTTTTTCTCTTCAAATGAGAAAAGAAATTTTCTGAGGATCTTTTTTTTTTTTTTTTTTTATTGGTTTTCCCCCTTTAACTATCCTTTCTCCATTAAGAGAATTTGCTATGATACAGAGATAAAGCCTACTTTATTATTATAACAAAGCACATCAATATCAGAACTTAGGTCATACCACCTTTTTTCTCTTCAAATGAGAAAAGAAATTTTCTGAGGATCTTTTTTTTTTTTTTTTTTAATGAGGTTTTTCCAAAAGGCCTTAGTGAAAAATTGAATGTCTATGTAGGCAAGAAAAGTTAATTTCTTCTATAGCAGTCTTAAGAAGCATGTAGTAATACCCATTGTATGATTATAATTTCAATATATCTGAAAATTCAGTTATGTACAGACACTACGAACTTGATTCTTTGAATTACCATTATATAGGAACATTGTATTAACTCGGTCCATTTACTTCTGCTTCTTTTCTGTTAGAACTCACCTTGAGTTAAAGTGGGAGAGATCTGAATTGGGATTGGAAGTCATCAAATTACTGCTAGTTAGATTGATGGGTGGCATTGTCATACTACCTCCAGCATATGGATCATCTTTCATGCCATTAGAGTTAGTGCTGGGGTTGACAGGGTTTAATGGTTCATTGATTACAGGTTTTGTATCTTGAGACGTAGTATGAGCATCAGTTGAATTCTGTTGGCAACGTCTACCTTCACTCTCTTGCTTTTTTGATTCTAAGGTATCTACTTTTCCTCCTTTGACTTTAATAACTCTGACTTTGATTTCCTTGGGCTTTTTCTCTCTTTCCATTTCCTGGAATAGATACATCCAAAATCTGAGTCAGGAGAACAGTAATTTTTATCATTAGAGTGCTATCATATAATTATACTGGCTAAAAAGAAAACCAAGTTTTACCTTTCCCAAAACTGAAGAACTTAGCAGTGTATTTGTATAAATTGTTTTTCTTTCATCTTTTATAAGTTCATTTTCTTTAGAATTCTCTTTTGGCTTTATGAATGAATTGACTTTTACTTCTCGTAGTAATTTAGCTCTTAGTTCCGGTATGAATCTGATAAAACAAATAATATCAACCAATAATATTTTTATTTATCTTTTTATTTTATCTTTAATGGAACATTTAATCAATTAATTTACATTGCAGCCACAGCATAAATAAGTCGTCAAAAATGCATGCCGAAAGATGGTCCAATATTTACCTAATATAAATTGCTTCCTGGTAAAGATACATCTTTTGATTTTGCCATGGAAATAAACTATATAAAAAGTTTATAAAATAGACTTATAGGCAAACTTTATTCAATAAAAGTGTTGCTTTTAATTTTGATAAATATACTATTCTTTTCAAGGAAGACTTGGCCACTTTGTCCTTCTTTTGGTTCTTTAAAGTAACAGTACTTAAAAAATGAACTAACTAGTTTCTGAAATCTTGCTCTAGAAAAATATTTTCAGTACAAAATGTAACAGAAATCAATATTGTAGGAAGATTGCTCAGATTTAGTTTAACTTTCTTTTCTAAAAAAGTTATTTTTGCATAGAAAATGCATTCATATGACTCAAAATTCAAAAGGTTATGCTGAAAAGTCTTCCCGCCCCTGTCTCTGAGGGCTATCAATTTGGGGGAGTTTTAAAATATCAGTCCATGAATGAATTCTTCCCTAATTCAACCCAATCTTGTCAGTGCTGTACAGGGCACATGTCTAGTAAAGGGTAGTGTGAGGAGAAGAAGAAAATAACCAGTGTGATTACTTTGGCTGCATGAGAAAATATCACACCTCTGTCAAAACTGTCTTGCATTACAGAAGGTCCACGGAAGGAAGAGTCCTTTTACCAAAGGAAAAAGTCTTCCCCAAACATTTTCTGAGGGTTTGATAACTGGAACTCAAGAACTCTGACCCATAATAGTGAAATCCTAATATCTAAATACCCAAGAGATATCAACTTAGTCTATATAGCACTGATACGAATCAACTACTTTATTCAATAATTGGCACTTTCCATTAACAGCACTTTGAATATCTTCTCACTTTTTTGTTTTAGATTAAGATTCCTGAAATGCTTAGTTACTCTCAAAGATTCCCTTTTCTTTGCTTTTTCCTATTTTAGTCTCTCTTCAATGGCTGTTCCTGGACTCTTCCATGCCTGATCTTAACTCCATCACATTTTAAACTGATGTCTTTCCGACCTCATTTCCAAAGGCAAAGTGAATGATTTTGCAATTAATGAGAAACTTTTCCTGTTTCATTCAAAGCCTGAATAGAAAATGGTAGGTTTTTAAAGAAATATAGCTGATTTGTAAGTCTATTTTGTCATTATATATATATATAATGTGGGACACAGAATGGCTATAAAAGAGATGGTCCCTAACTTTAGGGAATTTAAAAATTGGTGGGGAAAAAAAAATTGGTGGAGAGGAAAAGGCAATAAACACCGCAACAGAGAATAAGTAAAGCAGAGAAAAAAAATCATTTGGGAAACGAATCTTAGTTATAATATTTAGATCAGAGATGCTATCACAAGGGAAAAAAACTGGACTATTCTGAGTCAGAGGTCCAAATGGGAATAAAGCTAGAAAGTACTGACTGTTTATTTAATGTTATCTCTGGTCAATGATGACCACTGAAATTATGCTAAAGAGCTCAGCACACATCCTAGGACATAGTAACTGTATAATGAATGTTAACTGCAATTATTTTTATTATTAAGATTTTCATCATGACACCTATGAGTCTACCATATACCTAGTCAACACAGGAACTTAAGTAAGGTTTTGCTAAATTGAATTTTTCTGTTGTGTAACATTAACCTATACTGCAATTCTCATGCTAGTTAAAATTTCCTATACAGAAAGTCCACACTCACTCAGAATGCTTACTTTTCAATAAATCCATCTCTAGTAAAATACTCATGATGCAAAAGATCAGTAGAGGATATTCTCTCAGCAGGATCAATTTGTAAACAAGCCTAGAAAATGGAAAAAAGATTCTATCGTTAAGTAAGGTCTTAACAGGTCTCCATAAGGCAAAAATTAAATTTATTTGACAAGTGTAAAATTCATTAATTACCCAGAATTAAAAGTGTTCTTGAAAAGTTGAAATTAGACCTCAGGAATTTCTGACCATGAGTTCTGACCATTTATTTCCCTAAGAAATTTGTACTTGTAAAGCATTATTACAGGTTAAATGTCCTATGATTCTAGCCAAAACAGAAGTCAGTCTATTTTTCTTAGAATTAGTATAGAGATTAATTAGCTCATTTTGATCCTCTTCTCAGCCCTGAAGATGGAAAGTTAACAAATTATCATTTCCATTTTACAGAGCTAGAAGCATGACTTGCCAAACTAGAATTTTAACTCATATTGTCTGATTCCTAATCCAGTGTTTTTTCTATAGCATAATACAATTTCAAAAATATTCAAGCCTCCAAAATTTTCAGAAATCCATTATTTGAACAGCTTTTTTCTGTTTCCCTATCTGGGGAGTAATTCAACTAGGACACAACCAAAAAAATAATAACCCCACAAAAGAAAAAACAATGGAAGGGTTTTGAATAATGAGTTGCACATAATTTTCATTCTTCATAATCGTTTTGTAATTTTCATTCTTCCTCTAAAAGAAGGCAAAACATAGTAATAATAGGTAATTTTATTGATGCTTACAGCATGCTATACAACTCTATGTAGCCTTTTCCTGTTACTTGATCCCAATAACCCTACAAGTTATTATCATCCCCATTGTACAGATGAGGATACTGAGGCCCAGAGAGGTCAAGTAATTTGTCTAAGATTCATAAGTAAAAGAGCTAGAATTAAAATTTAGAAAATTCAGGTAATGCATATTACACTTTAGTTTATTTCAAAATGTATGTGTTTAAACTGATTCATAGTAAAAGTTGTAGAGCTATGCTGCACAGTAATATGAATATAGTTAACAATACTGTACTGTGCATTTTAAAATTTGGTAAGAGGGTAGATTTCGTGTTATGTTTTACTACAATTAAAAATGTTGACTCACAAAGTGAAATGGAGCCCATTATTTAATACTATATTATATAGGAATACCCGGATCCTTAAAACTGCAACTAGCTAAAAATGTGTGCTTATTTTAGAACATAATAGTAATCCATCAATAAAACTTAATAAGAAAAATGCTAAAAGGTCTGTGTAAGTCATAGTCTATTAGAGGCAGACAAATTAGTCATGCTGTGAATAACATAATTCAGAAAATTTAAATACATGCCCTAGTTTGGAAAATGTAAAATATGGTACTTTGAGAAACAGACTGGCAATTTCTTTAAAAATTAAACAAATACATACCTTATACCCACCATTCCACTTTTAGATATTTACCCAAGAAATAAAAATATACATCTACACAAAGACTTGCACATGAATGTTCACAGCAATTTTATTTGTAATAGCCAAAAATAGGAAACAACCCAAAATAGGAGAAGAGATAAAAAACTGTAGTATATCCATACAATGGACAATACTCAGTGAATAAAAGAACAAACTGCTGATACATGAAAAAACATGAATGAATCTCTAAACCATAATACTGAGTTTAAGCCAGACATAAAAGAAAATATGCTGTGTGTAATTCCATTTATAAACTATTCTAGGAAATGTAAACTAATCTATAGTGACAGAAAGCAAATCAGTGGTTATCTGGGGACAGGAATGGAGGAAAGATGGATTGCAAAAGGACATGAGGACATTTTAGGGGGTGATGGAAATGTTATGTATCCTGATTGGTGGTGCTGGTTTCATAGGTGTTTATATCTAGCAAAATTCATCAAATTGTACCTTTCAAGTATGTGTAATTTATTTTATATAAATTATACCACAGTAAAATTGTTTGGAAATTTTAAATCTAGGAAAAAATACATGTTCTACCCTAGATATTAAGATGTATTTTAAAGTTATAATAATCAATCAAAATTATACTTTTATTGAAATAAAGAGAGAAATCAATGACATAGAAACAGACCCTAGCATGTATAATAAGCATTTTGCCTATGATAAATGTGAGTCAACATTTTTAATTGTAGTAAAACACACATAACACGATATCTACCCTCTTACCAAATTTTAAAATGCACAGTACAGTATTGTTAACTATATTCATATTACTGTGCAGTATAGCTCTACAACTTTTACTATGAATCAGTTTAAACACATACATTTTGAAATAAACTAAAGTGTAATATGCATTACCTGAATTTTCTAAATTTTAATTCTATGATAAAAAAGCATTCCAAATCATTGGATTATTCAGGTTGAAAAAAAGTATTGCAACATATATGATAAAAGACTAATATGCTTATTATTTTACAAATAAATACAGAAAAAGATATTCTAATTGACAAATAGATTGATTCTTAAGAGATACAAATGACCAATTAGTATGTTCAACCTTTCCTGTAAGTGCAATTAAAAAAAGATACTATTTATAGCCTATTAAACTAGCAAATATTTTAAAAATTATAATATCTAATGCTAGGTTAAGAGTAGAATGTATAGCCAATGCTACTTGAGAGAACCTGAATATAAATCAGTGAAATCTTTTTGGAGAAAAAAATAGCAAAATATATTAAAAATTCTAAAAAGTATAAACCCTTTTGCCCACTACTCATGCTTTTAGAAATTTATCCTAAACAAATAATAAAATAAATTCATAAAGACATATATAAAATATGTTCACTGTAGCACCTTTACTAATAGTGAGGGAAAAAAACCTGAAAACAAATGTCTAAAATTGCGAGATCAATCAAATAAACTATAGTATAGTCAGACAATGAAATACTATGTAACTGTTGAAAATTATGATGTAATTATGTTCCATATTTATTGACATGTAATATGTTTATAATATACTGTTAAGTGAAGATAAACATGTTACATAGCAGTGTATAAAGCATAACACCTTTTAAAAAGCATAAACTTCCTTTTTTTAATGTGAACCAGTCGCATAGTCATTTATTATCATTATCAAGGATTATGTACTGTACATAATTGTATATGCTGTACTTTTATACAACTGGCAGCACAGTAAGTTGGTTTGCACCAACATCGCCACAAGCACATGGGCAATGCATTGAGCTACAACCTTATGATGGCTACAGCATCACTAGGCAATAGGAATTTTTCAGCTCCATTATAATCTGATGGGATCACTGTATATGTGGTCTGTCACAGACCAAAATGTTATGTGGTACATGACTGTATTTAGTTCCCATTGTACCACAACTCCCATTTCACAGTGGATGACAAAAAGAAATTAATAAACTCACATAAGGCCACATGGCTAAAAAGTACTAAAGCTGAGGTTCGCATGCATTGGGTCTGTGCCCAGAGGCAGCACTTAAAAAGCATAAATTTCTATGTATATATTTGGTTGGAAAAAGTCTAGACGTATATAAACCCAAATGTTAATAGTAATTATTTTTTGGATTATGGGAGTTGGGAAAATCTTAACTTCTCCTTTTTGTTTATCATGTATTTTCTAATTTTTTTATAATCATTTTTTATTCTTTATACAATTAAAAAAATATGAAATTTAAAAAAATCAAACCGAAAATGTAGTAAACAAATTTATCCTTAATAAACTCTAGTTCTCTGCAGGTATCAATGAAATAATTTTTTCTTTCAAGAATAGTCTTTAGATGTTTATATATCATATGTTTATCTAAATAATAGCAACAACAACTAGTAACATGAACAACATTTGTTGAAAGCTTATTCAAGGACCTATGCTCAGAAAATTTCCACTATTACTTCATTTAATCCTCCAGCCCCAGAAAATAAATACTGTTAATGTTGTTTTATAGCCCAGTAAACTGAGGCACAGAGATTAAGTGACTTGCCCAAGGTTACAGAGCTAATTAGTGACAGAGCTGGGTTTTAAATGTAGTCTGTGTTTTCAAAGTCCCTTCTTATAAACATTACATTATACTTGCTTTGAAATATAGGTAACCACTTTATTTTTTTAAGGGCTGTACATTAGAAATAAGATACCTTAGTTGATCTGGGAAAGGAAATTGGCTGGATAGAGAAAATAAATAAGAACAGAGTCACTTTTCATAGTAAACTCCCTTTCCTTTTGAATGTTGTACTAAGTGTGTTGGTATACATTTATTATTTAGATTAAAATGAAATTTAAATTTTAAAAGAATTAAAAAGTGCTATGTAATGTTTTTGTTTTCTCCAATTCAAGGTGAATTTTGGCATTGTTGTCTTTAAACATTACAACTGCAGCTGCCAAAGTCTTGTTAGGATACCACTATACAAAGAACAGATCCCTAACTTGTGTAGACTAGCTATTAAAAAGTGGTGATAAACATGGTAAGTCCTTAGAATTTTTGCAGTTAATCCCTAATTATCATTAAAATTGGGATAAACTAAAAATAATAAACAAGATTATCCTAGGGAGCTTTCAGTTCTAACAGTCTATGAATTTTAATTTCTCTGAACTAAAGACAAAGACAGGAATATAGTAACTTTTAACAGATAACATTACTTTATGAATCCTTTTGGAATTTCATTAAAGTACTGTCCTAAAACTATATTATAATTTATGCAAATTTCTCATAAATAAGTTCTTAATCTCTCAACATACATGAACTATATCTGCTAACAATCCATTTAACTTTGGGTATTTTTTCCTTGCATTTTTGGGGTGTTGAACTTGAGGAAGAACCACCCCAGCAAAAATAGGACTCTTGGAAAAGATATTCTGCAAGTGAGGTGTCAAATTGCCTGAAAAGAGAAAAAATATGTATATAAGAAAACAGAGAAATTAGTCTATAATCAAAATAATCAAATTGCTATGTGGTCTGCATTAAATTACTGAAAAGGGAGAATAACAATTTTGATCTTTTAATTTTTTAAAGTTGAACAAGGAACTATCTGAAGATAACATAAAAAATTGAAGTTTCCCCAGTAATCTGTTGATAGTACACAGGCAGTAGAAAAAGTAAAACAACCAGGGTCATTTTCTTTTCCCAAAATATAACACATAAAATATAATGCTACCAGGCAAAACACATTCAAACTTTTATATATTTCTGTATAGGTATCTAAATGGTTTAACTATCAAGTGTTTATCAATAAAGCCTTATTCAAAACAACTAAAATATTAAAATTATTTAGAAATAGAAATATTGCAACAAAGAAACAAGGCTATAAAGCAGTAGTAGAATGGAAAGAACCATAAATAGAAATGGAGAGAGCTAAGTTCTATCACCAGTTTTGCTCTAACTAGTTCTGTGACCTTGGGCAAATCTCGCCCCTTTCTGTGCCTCAGTTTCCTCATCTGTAAAATGACAAAACTTGATCCCATCATCTCTAAAGTTCCTTCTAATATTAATCTCATAACCAGAACTTTAAAGATAACACTAAAATGTGTGATGCTTTAACGCTCTGAACTGTATCTTTAATCAATATTTATCTAGATTTCAAGATTTTTAGTTATTTACAGTACCTTCCTCATAATCCTGTAATTACAGGTTTATGTATAGCTTCCTCACCACGAAAAGGGCTCCTTCAGCTCCTCATTCAGAAATATATATATATAAAAAAACCATGGAAACTCCATAAGAAAGGTTATCCATCAAAATATTTAGGTAGTCAAAGCAAATAATCACATAATTTAGCTTTCATCAAATACTTTTTTGAATAAGTTACTTAGCTATTTGGTTATCTACTATGCTAAAAAAAACCATTTACTCAGTAAATAATTGATATTGTATATCCAAGTGCTTTAAAAAAGCATTAAAATCAACTCTATTATTTAAACATCTTCTTTGAGAGATACAATTATCTGTAGAAGCCAAATTTTAAAACAATTTTCAGACAAACTAAAGTAGATTCCTATTATACTATTTTTCTTATTATCAACCGTCAACATATGGCTTAGCTATTTGCATCCTGGCAAAGAAAATATTATTTGTAAAAACAGAGTTGTCTACCTTCTTTATCAGCCCAAGGCATCCATCTGCTACTATCTATCAAAACGATATGCTTCCCTGTTCTTATAACGAAAAATCTATATTTGAAAGTCAAGCAGAATTAATCTGGCAATATTTATTTTAAGCTTTTACCAGTATTTCAGTAATACTCACCTACTTTTAAAACAATTTTGTGAAGTAAATCCAAATCAGAGCTGCTAGGAAGAAAGGGATTTCCAGTGGCCATCTCAATGATCATACAGCCCAAAGCCCAGATATCCACGGGTCTGAAACAGAGAGGAATAAATCACTTTTTTTCCATGGAGAAATATATAAAATATCTTTTCTAAAGAAAACTTTTAAAATAAAAAGGTCAAAGAAAAAATAATGGGCAATATCATTTATAAATTTTCACTGTAATATCATATGTCGACTTTAGGATATACATTAAATATTACCACATTGTATTAATAACATTAAATAGCTTATATTTAAATTGCATGAGAAGTCACTTAGCAGTCCAGATAAAAAGTAACTGTATTCTAAAATTGTTTCAGATACTTATATAAAGATATTATGATAAATGGTTTATGAATTAGAATAACTGAACACTAAAATCATCTTGTATTTAAAAAGTAAAAATTAAAAATCTTAAACATTTTACCACTTACATTTCATTTATTCATCTTAACACATTGTGAGTCATCTATAATTCAAATTTTTTTCTATGTAATCAGTTTTTTAGAAGATAGTTTATATCACTGGGGCTTTTAAATAGACAAAAGGGATACCAACCCCACATACAGAAGAAATATAAATGAATGCTACAATGAGACCTATTTTTTACTGATATACTGATAAAAATCATAAGCTATAACTGCTGGCAAGACAGTAAAAAGATCAGTGGTTGCCAGGGGTTCAGATAGAAAAAGGGAAGAATATTTACAGAGTGAACAGTGGCCACCTGCTGGATTTTTGTTTATCTTTGTGCATGTAGGGTTTAGAGTAGGCTCACATGTCAGATGCTGATGATACCCCACCCTGTATGCTCTCTTCCCACCTCTAAGTTCACCTGCAGTTGCAGTGGACCACAGAGGTTTTTTTTAGAACTGTGAAACTATGCTCTAAGATACTATAATGGTGGATATATGATATTATACATTTGTCAAAACCCATAAGAAATACAACACAAAGAGTAAACCTTAATGGAAACTATGAAATTTAATGATAATGTATGAATGTGGTTTATCAATTCAACAAATATGCTAAACTAATGTAAGAGGTTACTAGGAAAACTGTACTGTGGGAGAGGATAAAGAGGGTTTATAGGAACTTTGTACTGTCTGCTCAATTCTTCTGTAAACCTAAAACTGCTCTTAAAAGTCTATCAATTAAAAAACTTGAAAGAGAAAAAGCAATATTCTATACTACATATATGCTACTATTTCTGTTTAAAGGAGATGTGTGTATTGGTATTGCTAGATAATGATTTTAAGGAATAAATTATTTAATTGTACTGTATACAATTTTCAAGTCCACATTACAATAAAAACTGGATATAATAGGAACTTATTAGCTTGCTCATTTCACAAATTTTAAGAACTTAATAGAAATTTATGTTTCAGTGAGAAACAGTAAAATCAAGACCAATTGTTAGCCTTCAAAGCTTTAAGTAAATTATCTGAAGCACTCACCATCATACTCACCATTTCTACCTCCAATAGAGGCATTAAAAATATTCCTACACAAATCAGTTCACTTTTCCTCAGCTTGATTTGAACTTTCACAGTTCAATTTAGTAAGGTAAGGCATTATCTGCAGAAATGTAAAGCATTGTATGGGCAGGCCTTTCAGAGAGCAATAAAAGACTGAATACATGTAGTTGATTGTCATTGCAGCACTAATCTTAAAGGGCTCCCCTATTATCTGAAATATGAGCCAGTTCTACTCTCACATGCAGGCTAAAAGGAGAATTAAAAAGAAGCACAAAGAGATGGGCTTTTATCATGAGATAGTGAAGAGATCTACTGACCTACTCTCCAGTGAAACTGGTGAACACTATTTTTTTAAAAACCCACAATAAAAGCCTCTTGAAATAAGCCTAAGGGCAAACAACAAATGAAAGATCTATTCAGGAAATCTATAAAAACTTGTTAAGAAAGATGAGTTTGTGATATTTGAATTAAGACCACTCTCTCCCTCTTTCATTCTGGCTCAGTGAGACAAAGATTCTGCCCTACATACCATGCTACATTTTGAGGCATCTAGAACAGTATAATTTAAAAATTATTACTTGCCAGTCTTTGCAAAGGGGGTGCCATATTCCAGAAAACAGTAAACTTGGCAGTTCTTATGGTAATACTGGCAGGGGGAGATAAATGATTTTAAAATCTTTGCAGAATGTAGAGACTAAAGATAAGCAGAGGAGGCAACTCAGCGAAAGGTGGGGCACAACTTAAAGCAAGCATGGATACGGCCTGAGGGATGTCTGTATAAGTCTGGGGTGGGGGCCACTCAGTCACAGAGGACAATAGTGGTAAAATTAATAGCCAGCAGGGCAGGGCAGGTGCCTACAGGGTCTCTCTGTTGTATTTACAGGTGTCCTTTTTTTAGCTCTAACCCAGACACAGAAGGCAGAGGTTGTCAGTAATAGAGGTGACAGATAAACCATGGAAAAAAGAGATGGCTAGGAAAGGCCAGGCAAGATTCCAAAATATACATACTTTCCATAAGAGGTATCTTTCAATACTAATTCTGGAGCTCTATACCAGCGTGTAGCCACATAGTCTGTATAAATGTCCCCAGGAGCTGCTAGTGTTCGTGCAAAACCGAAATCACAGAGCTTAGTAATTCCTGACTGGGACACTAAAATATTCTCAGGTTTTATATCTCGATGAATAATCTAAAAAACAAACAGAAGATGCAATACATTAAAATGAAGTTTTATTGGAGAATTTCTCAAAAATTATACAGAGAAAATTTAGCTAATTAAGATAGTAAAGCTATTTTCTTACCACATGTAAAGGATTAACTACACACTGCAAAAGCTAAATAGTTATACATTTTCAATTTTTGTCCCATCTATCATCTCAAAATGAAATGAAGCCAAGAAAACAGACATAATACTAAAAAAGGTAAATCATATTCCTAACAGGAAAAGTAATCAAAAGAAAATGAAAAGGGTTTAATTTTCCTTTAACCCCACGTCACACTCCAGATACTGCCCTTTCTCTCATTTCCTCCACAGCTAAGCCTTATCTTTACTCAGTTGTCACTTTCTAATCACTCATTCACTCCTCAAGGTAAGGTGTCTGTCTTCTGCTCCCACATTGCATTAAACTGTCCTAGCCAAAGTCATCAACAACTCCATTGTTGCTACATCCAATAGACAGCCCTCAATACATACCTTGCTTGATATCTTAGTGTAAAATGCTGCCAACCACTCCTCCATTCCTGATTTCTGGGACCTAAAATTCTCCCAGTCTCCTTCCACCTCTGTTTGAAGTTCTTTCTCTGTTTGTCCCTTAAATGCAGGGTTCTGGTCTTAGGCTTTATCTTCTCAGACATCATCTTCCCAGGCAAACTCACCTACTTTCTTTTTGGACCACTTTCTTCACTTGGTTATGGAGACATCATACTCTCTTGGGCTTCTTCTCACCTATTGGCTGCTCCATCTTGACCTCATCTACTCTTATAGCTTTAGTAACTATCCATATACTGATGATTTCCAAATTTCTGTGTCTAACCAAGATATCTCTTAGTTTCCATGAGAAGTAGAATTCTACAAGAAGTCCCACTCAGCAAATGCAAAACTAAATGCATCATCTTCTCTCCCAAACTATTTATTCTTAACAGGCTTTAGTAAATGGAACCAAAACTGACTCCAAGTCTTAAGCCGGAAACCAAGGTATTTTTTCTCTCAGCTCCTATATACTCTTAACCCATCTATTTCTCTCCCTAGTTCAAGTCCCTTCAGCTATCTCACCAAAAATTACCACACTACCAACTGGTCTCCTTGAATTCACTCTGATCCCCTCTGATCCACTGTCCACAATGAAGTTATAGTACTATTTTAAAATCACATGTGATCATGTCATTTCTCTGCTTAACATCCTTTAAGGATTCCCATCTGACATGACAATTTTGAAACTCCTTAAAATGGCTTGTAAGGCCTTGTAGGATTTGGCCCCTCCTCTCCTTATCAACCTCCTCCCCTCATCTATACACTATTAGTTTCCCAGTTTTCCAGGGCTTCTCTCATCTCTGTGCATTTGCTGATGCTGTTCCAACTGCCTGGAATACTTTCCTGGCCAACTGTTTCCTCAGGTTTCAGCTTAAATGTTTGTATTAGGAATTCCTTTCTATGTTCTCACATCATTCTGCATGTCCTCATCACAGTATCTGTCATGCTATATTATTAACTGCCTGTTAATTTTTGTAACTCCCACTAGATTGTAAACTCCATGATGGCAAGATGTCCTGTCTTATTCAAGCTATGTGTCCAGGGCCCAGTACAGTGCCTAAAACAAAGAAGGCATTTCAAAACTTTATCAAATGAAGTATGTTTGCATCACCAGAAAAGTTTCATAGCACAAGTAAAAATAGCTCAGTTACAGAAATGCAGGATCTTTTCTTCTTTATAAAACTTCTCACTATAAATCTTTGGGACTGGCTCTTGTTCTGCTTCAGTCTCCTTCCACAAAATTAACAGGGTAATGAGCAGCCTTAAAGATGTCTATAAAACTATATTAATCCTTTTTACTTCCACAACTTTTGATTACTATATGCCAGCCCCTATGCCAAAATCTGAGCATATAATGTGAACAAAAATAGACATGAAAAAGCACATTAAGATAGCACTTCACACATCCTGCCCACCACACATCCATAACCTTCTCCTCAGTGCTCCAAACATGGGACAGAAAGATCTATCCAGCTGATACTCTAATGGTCTCACTCTTTTCAACAACTAACACAACTACATGCAGAATTTTCTTATCCTTGAAAACCAAGCACTCTCTGAATCCCAACTTTTAAAATCTATGTTTTGACAACATCCTCCTTAGCCTTCCACTATCACACTGAGACCTCCATAAACAGAGCATTTCTATTTGTTTTAGTCTTCCTTCACTTCTCTCATCAACATTTAGTAATTTTCAGTATAAAGGTTTGTACATCTTTTGTCAGATTTTCTCTAAGTATTTATTTTCTTTTGATGCTGTTGTAAGGGTATTTTAAATTTCAATATGATTGTTGCTAATATATGGAAATACAATTTTGGTATATTGATCTTGTCTCCTACAACCTTTATAAACTTACAGATTAGTTTTGTTAACTTTGTTGTAGATTCCACAGAACTTCCTATATAGATAATGATGTCATCTGTGAATAAAGACAGTTTTACTTCTCAGAAAAAGATACCACTTCACACTCATTGGAATAGCTATATTCAAAAAGACAATAACAAATATTGGGGAGGACATGGAAAAACTGGAATTCATTGTTAGTGGGGATGTAAAATGGTACAGCCACTTTGGAAAAGCTTGGCAGTTTCTTTAAAAAGTTAAAACATAAACATATCATATAATTCAGTGGTATTCTTAGCTCTTCCTATTTCTATTCCCCTTTCCCCAGCTCCTGGCAGCTTTGTAAACCAGCAGCTCCCCCAAATCGACGGGGTTATATTTCCTCCAAAACCCCATATCCAGATAACTGTCATTATCTGACCTGTCCAGCAGGTCACTGAAAAATCCCACAAGAAGACTTATCTTCATTTAACCTAACTCAGAGATTGTCCAGTGCAAACAGCCTTTCACCCAGGGCCTTCGTCAGAAATAATTAGCAGCCACTGTATAATATTATAGCCACCTGAGGGAGCTATAACAAGACAAACAACAAGTTGACCAAAATACTTTTTAAAAAGGCTGGAAGTGAAATGTCCATAAAGAGATGTCCAATTCCTGAGAATTAAGAAGGCTACATGCAGAGCTGTGCATATGCCCAGAAAAGACTCGAGATGGTCCTAAGCTCTTATCTCGAGCTGACTTTGAGGCTCTGCACAAGCAAGAGGTTTAAGGCTAGGGCAGAGTTGTAAATTATCTGCCTGAATATCGAAGTCATTGTCCAACCACACAGAGGGAGCCTCTCAATAAGTAATAAATAAGGCTGAGACATTTGTTGGTTTCAGGTATTTAAGGAAATCTCTGTCCAGTCTTTATCTAACCATTAAGCTAACTGAGCAGAGATTTCGGTGGTATTCTGAAGAATACAGAGTTCCAGAATTAGCTCAGGAAAGTAACTAAACAGCCACAACAATAACAACAACAACAAAAAAAAAACCATCAAAAACGACAAACCCTCAGAGATGGGAAATGGATTTCCAGTGTCGCCATATTATTTTAAATGTCCAGTTTTCAACAAAAAATTTCCCTGAATAAAACACAAAACAGGTATGCATAGAAACAAGGATGGCCCATACACAGGAAAGAAAAGCAGTCAATAAGAAACTTTCCTGAGAAAGTGCAGGCACTGAACTTACACGACAAAGACTAGAATCGGCTATTTTAAATAGCTTAAAGAATCCACGTCCAAAGAACTATAGAAAAGTAGGAACATAATGTCTCATCAAATAAAGAATATCAATAAAGAGAAATTATATAAAAAAAAAGAATTAAATATAAAAGAACACTACCAAGGAAGCAAAAAGCGCACAGAATGGGAGAAAATATTTGCAAATTATATCTGATAAGCATCTAATATCTAAAATATATAAAACTCAATAATAAAAAACAACCCAATTTTAAAATGGGCAAAGGATTTGAATAGAAATTTTTTCAAAGAAGATTTACAAATATGAATCTGTTCTGGATATTTCATTTAAATGGAATTTATACTATGCAGTCTTTTGCATCTGACTTTTTCCCACTTAACATAATGTTTTCAAGGTTCATTCATGTTGTAGCATGAGTCAGTACTTCATTAGTTTTTATGGCTGAATAAATTCCATTGTATGGATTTACCTCATTCATCAGTAGATATATTATTCGAGTTGTTTCCACTTTTTGGCCTTTATGAAAAACATTGCTATGAACATTCCTGTACAGGTTTTTATGTGAACATGTTTTCTTTTCTAATTAACTAATTCATTGATTTATTTTTATGGTGACATTTGTTACCGAAATCCAATAAGTTTTAGCTGTACACTTTAACAGTAAAGCATATATATATTTACAGTGTGTTCATCTCCCATAGTTAGATTTGTCACCACATATTTGACCCCCTTTATCCCATCTCCTCCCCCCTCCCGTTTGCCCCCTCCCCTCTAGTAACCACTAGTCTATTGTCGTTGTCCATGAGTCTCTGTTTGTCCTATTCATTTGTTGCTTTTAGGTTTATATCCCACATATGTGATATCATGTGATATTCAGCACTTTGGAAGGCAGTATGGAGTTTCCTCAAAAAACTAAGAATTGATCTGCCGTATGATCCAGCAATCCCTCTACTGGATATTTACCCCAAAGATTTAAAAACTCATATCCAAAAAGATATTTCCACACCGATGTTCATAGCAGCATTATTCACAGTGGCCAGGACATGGAAGCAACCGAAGTGTCCTACAATAGATGATTGAATAAAGAAGCTATGGTACATATATACAATGGAATATTACTCAGCCATGAGAGATGAAATACTGCCATTTGCAACAACATGGATGGACCTTATGTGAACATGTTTTCAATTCTCTTGGGTAAGATACCTAGAAGCAGAATTGCTAGGTAATATGGTTATTCTATGTTTAACTTTTTGAGGAACTGTCAAACTGTCTACCATAGCAGCTACACTATTTTACACTACCACCAGCAGTGTATGAGGGTTCTAATTTCTGCACTTCCTCATCCACAT